TATATCCAGAACCACTTCACCCTGTGTGCAGTCTAACTTCTGGGTGCCCAAAACTTGCTGGCAGACAGCCTCAGCAGGCATTTTGCCACAAGTGGGAATTACACAGTTCAGTAGTGGATAGCATCTTCACTCAGCAGGGAACCCCTGCTTGGAACCTGTTGCCTGCTAAGCAAACAGGTAGTGCAACATATACTGCTCCAGAGAAGTTCAATGACAGTATTCCAGAGGGGATGCTTTCCTGGATCTATGCCTTTCCTCCCATCCTACAGCTCGCTCAGATTCTATGGAGGATTGGACAGGACAGAGTATGAGTTATCTTCATCGCCTCCAAATGGCCTAGATAGTTCTGCTTTCCCATTTTCCTGACAAATGTCAACCCATTTACTCGTCAGCATTCCTTCCTTCCTGAATCTCTGACCAAGGAGAATGGCAAGGCCAGGATCCCAACCCGGAGTCTCTTCATCTCATGGCTTGGTATTTGGATGAGCATCACACTGAAAATGTTCATGCTGTGCAAGCCATTCTTAATAGCAGAAAGGACTCCACCAGGAAATGTTAGTTAGCCAAATGGATACGTTTTTCTGTCTGGGTCTAGCAAAACGTTGTCACCAAAAACAGTTGATAAGTCTGCTATTTTGGATTATCTCCTTGCTCTCAAGGAGACAGGCCTTTCCCGAAGCCTGCTATGGATTCGCATCTGGCCAATCAGTGTTTGTCACCTGCTAACAGATGGTTACTTGATCTTTACTCATCCAGTAACAGCCAGGTTTTTGAAGGGTCTGATCAAAACCTTGCTGCTGGGGGAGGGAGACAACCCTCATGGAGATCTTAACTTCGTGCTTTCAGCACTCTAGGCCACCCTTTGAACCATTAGGTATGTGCTCTGTGTCTCACTTGTCAGTGAAGGTCATGTTCATCATTGCAATCACCTTTCCCAGAAGGGTAGGTGAACATGAGGACCTAATGGCCAATCCATCGTACACAATATTCAACAAGGACAAAATCTTGCTACACCTAAACCCAAAATTCACTCCTAAAATAGTTCAGGAATTTGACAAAAATCAGTTAATTCACATGTCTGTGTTTTTCCTGAAGCCCCATACGTCTAGCAAGTAGAGATTTCATTCCCTCAACATGAGATAAGTATTGGCATTTTACCTGCAGAGAACGAAACAGATCAGGAAATCTCCTAGACTATTGGTTGCCAAAGCAGAATGAGTGTGAGGACAAGCTATATTCTCTCAAAGAGTCTCTCATTCTTACTCTATTAGTTGGCACAACTTCCTCCTTCTCATGGGATAAGGGCTCACTCTAGAAGGGTACATGCAGCCTCATTTAGCATCACTTCAAGAGGTGTCCCTGCGTGATATTTACAGGGCCACTATGTGGAGTTCGAGCCACACATGCATGAGACATTATGTCTTGGCCCAAGACTGCTTCACTGACACATCCTTTGGGGGCAGCGGTTCTAAAGCAGCTCTATAAACTTCATTATCATGCCCTCCTCCCCTGAGTGCTTGTTGTGAGTCACCCACAGTGGAATATACATAGGAACCAGTACTCGTAGAAGAAAGGGAAGTTACTTGCCTTAAAGTAACTGGAGTTCTTCCAGAAGTATGGTCCCTGTCTGCATTCAGCTGCTCGACCTTCTTCCCTCTGCTTTGGATCATGACAAGATTTGTGGTAGAGAAGGAACTGGAGAGGCTTTTAGTCAGCCCTGCCCCTGATACCTTCGATGTGGAGCACAATGATAATGAATGTGCAGGTGTGGTCCAGCAGAAGTGGCTTGCAATAACTTCTCAGTCTCAGGTGCTTAGAGTTCCTGTGTACCCCCATAGGGACTACACATCTTGAAGAACTCCAGTTATAATAAGGTAAATAACTTTCCTTCAAAGGGGGTATTCAAGGTAGTAATCACAATTACTTTCCTTGTAGGCCTCATACCTCTTGACCATCAGGATTGGAAATGAATCCATTATGCCTCTTTGGAAAGCTAAAAATCCAGTTTTCCAGTGTCTTCCTATATTATAATGATTTCAGTTCCTTAATGATTGCTGCGATTTATTCCATGTACTGATGACACGCTTTAAAAAAAAAAAAAAAAAAAAGACCTTTCCTGTTATCTAACTTCTTCACTTCTGCTAAATTGTAATATTCAGTAAACACCTGCTTTTCAGAGAACAGAACCAAGCCTGTTGTCTGACTAACCTAAGAAGACAAATATCAGTAGAATTACTAAGAGAAGAAATATAATTTTAAGTAATCACTTTACAGCTCCTTTGTGGTTTATGAAAATTATGACCTCACTTACCTGCTTGTTTTTATATTAGAAATATCAGGTCCTTATTACTCTCTATTTGAGGAGCGGGATTGTGACATAGCTCAAATCTGAGTCGCAAATCTTCCAGCTGCTAATTGAGCACAGTGTTACTGAGTTTTAAAAATTGAATTTGATCATCCTATCCCTCCCCAATAGGCTGTCAGCCAAAAACGGTGTCATATTCACAATCCTCCAAAGGATGACAGAGTTCTCCAGTAAAAAGGGGATATCATGGCCTGAGAGATTTATGTCCATCACAATAGTTTTAGCTAAGAAAAAAGCAGGTAAAACTGCTATTTTTTTTTTTAAATACAATCTTAAGACAGCAAAACAATTAAATCAGGAGTGGGCAAACTTTTTGGCCCGAGGGCCACATCTGGGTATGGAAATTGTATGGCGGGTCATGAATGCTCAGAAAATTGGAGGTTAGGGTGCGGGGGGGAGGGCTCCAGCTGGGGCTATGTGCTCTGGGGTTGGAGCTGGGGATGAGGGGTGCAGGAGGGTGCTCCAGGCTGGGACCGAGGGGTTCAGAGGGTGGGAGCGGGCTCAGGGCTGGGGCAGGAGATTGGGGCGTGGGAGGGGGTCAGGGCTGCAGGTTCTGGGCAGCGCTTACCTCAAGCAGCTCCCAGAAGCAGTGGCATGTCTCTCCTCTGACTCCTAAACGGAGGCGCAGCCAGGCGGCTCTGCGCACTGCCTGTGCGGCAAATGGGAGCTGCAGGGGCGGTGCTTGGGGCGGGGACAGCATGCGGAGGCCCCTGGCTGCCCCTACGCATAGGAGCCAGAGGGGGCATATGCTGCTGCTTCCGGGAGCCGCACGGTTGAGGCAAGCCCCGGACCTCACTCCCTGGCGGGAGCTTGAGGGCTGGATTAAAACATCTGGGGGACCAGATGGGGCCCCCGGGCTGCAGTTTGCCCACCCCTGAATTAAATGATAAAAGAGACAGTCCTCTGTTATTCACTGTTCCCTTGGCTGGATCACCATGTGATCCATCAAAAATCAGTTGCTTTTTTATTATTACAGTGATATTAGGGGTTTTAAATAATCAATTAGTAACAAAATATTTCCTGTTTCTCTGTTTTAGTATAATAGAGTTAACTGAAATTTAGCATCCATGTCAACCATGATGCTTTTTGGAAAACATAACCTTGTCCTGACCAGTGGGAATGACAATTGCTAGCAATATCATGATTTGCAAATCAGACCAATTAATTAGTCAGTGGCTCAGTAACCGGAATTGACACTTTCAGAATCAGAGGTTCTTACAGAGTTGTGTAACAAGCTGTTGAGCCACCTGGCTGCCATTTTAAAATGTACCGTTGGTTTATACTCGGCAGTCTCACTAAACCAAGACTGATTTTTTTTATCAGAAGAGAGGGAAATTAAGTAAAAATGATTTTATTTTACTTTATATTTTATCAAAGAAGATACTGTTTGTAATAAATAGTTAAAAAAAACCACATAGACATAAAGGTGAGGATGCTATAGAAGACAAACATAAGTTTATGTCTTTGGCAGCTATGTGCTGTCTTCCCTTTTGCTGTTTTTGGAGCACAGTTTCAGTGCTTTCCAATGTATAGCCCATTGTTTGCACAAGAGATGGTTTTTGAGAATCACAACTATAAAGTCTGCTGTGTCCAGATTCTTTTTTTTTTTTTTTTTAATGCATTTGACTGTGCTGTTGACCTCCAGAATCTCTGAAATTGACACTCCTTTGGGGCGGAGAGTGCTGATTTGGGAAGCAGTGGCTTAGAATATTCTCATTAGCAGCTTATGTTTCTTAAAAAAAAATCACAGTAAGCGAGGTTTAGCAGCTGCTGTGGCATTAAATCAAGTTCTGAGAAAAAAGCAGCTCAATCTGAAATGACAGGCAAATATGTTTATGGGATTTATTAAATGTTTAGTCTTAAAATTGAATAATTAAAATGTATTTACCTCTAGGTCCTATACTAATGACCTCGAGTTGTGTGTTGGCTGGATTTTTGTTCATTTTCATAGGATCTAAAGCAGATTACATTTGGCAGATATTCTGTGTATTCCCTCTGTGGTGCTCCAGCACTGACTTCACATGTTTTCCACACTGTAAATTCGTATGCCTTTATACTTATAAATAAAAACCTTAGCTTCACCACTTCATAGCTGAGCTTTTTTACGCAGTTTCTATGTAGACAGACAGTAGCCATTTTAGTCTTTAGTGGTATTTTGATAGTACTGGTTGATACCAATATTCTCTGTGAACTAATGACAGTATTACTTATACCACATTGATAGGTTCCTGCAAACACTAATTTTTGGAGATCTCTAATATTAGTTTTATTTAACAACTTACATTTTTAGTCATTTTGTAAAGAACTGGCCTAGTGAATTTAAATTGTCCTCTTCTTCTCCTTAGACCTGCTTCCTAAAAATGCACATAACATGTTTATATGAATGTGTTCTTTATTCAGACCAATCTTAAATCTTGCCAAAGACATTCTGTTTCAAAAAATTACTGTCTTCCTTTTTTAGAAATATAGTGAAGGAAAAAATCAGAACAAAAAGTGGTATGTCAAATTGACTTGTTGATCTTCCACAAAGCAGAGTAAAATTCACTTCATTTACATATTTTAAGTGGAAAAGAATGGCTTTAGAGGACACATCTGAATGTTTTAATTTGAATTATCTGTGTGTGTATTTAGGCCACAGAAAGTGAGGCTGGTGATATGGATCTGAGTGGGTTACCAGAGACTGCAGTGGATTCTGAGGATGATGATGATGAAGAAGACATTGAGAGGGCGTCAGACCCTCTGATGAGCAGGGATATTGTTAGAGACTGCCTGGAGAAAGACCCAATAGACAGGACAGATGATGACATTGGTAAGTTGGCATGAAAACTAGCAGGAGGGAGTGGGAAATTGAGCCTCAGGGCACTCTAATATTATTTAACATGTTCTAACTTGTTTCTCAGTCCCAAATTTAATAGAGTGAATCTGTGTAACAAATATCTAACTTCATGTGAAATAATTAATTGTTTAAAATACCAAATGACTGATTTTACAGGTTACATTTGGATAACTAGAATAAATAATCATGCTAACAATAACAGTTAAGCTGAAAACAAAATTAATGAAGCAACTCAATTTAATTTTAAACTAGATACACCACTGACATGATATAGATTTTAGGTTGAAAATTAATGTCACAAAAATATACTATTAACCTAAAAGAGAAGCAAACATTCAGTTGGAGCACAAGGTTTTGAAAATAGCAAGATATGATTTAAGATACTCTTCTTCCATAGTACAAATGGGATTCTTGAATTTGTTGTTAGATTTTTTTTTTAAGCTATTGGTTCCCAAGTATAGGGTTGCCAACTTTCTAATGTCTGAAAACTGGAGACACACACCCCGCTCCACCTCTTCCCCCAAGATCCCACACCGGCTTTCTCATCTCTCCCCATTTCCCCCATTGCCTGTCTGCCCATCAGATGCAGGTAGGAAGTAGCCCTGGCAGAGCAGGGGCTGGCATGGGTTGATGACCAAGTGCCTCTCCCAATCCCCCATGGTAACCAGACTGTTGGTGTCCGATCGGTATATCTGACCAGACACTGTACAGGTACCTTTTCGATCGGACAGTCTGGTCGAAAACCGGACACCTGGCAACCCTACAAGTTAATATATTACAGAGGCTTGTTTAAGAAAAAAGAGGGTGGGTGCGACAGAAAAGGGGAAATAAATGTGCTATTGATGAATATTAATGCTTGTAGTCTGCTAGAGCTGAGAGACTGCAGATTGTAATTTGACACCAGTGACTTGTGTGTCATGTAAGAATCTCTGGTGACTGAAAAGGCTTTCACAGAGTTCTAGAGAATTTTGAAATTAACAAAAATTGTCACAATAATGGAAATACTAATTGCATATCAAGTCAATGAAAATGAATTCCTGTTGATCACAATTAGGGCCCTAACAATTTCACAGCCATGAAAAATGCGTCATGGACCATGAAATTAAGCCCTTCCCTATGAAATCCGATGTCCCCTTGTTCCTAGGAGCGCCCCACCAAAGGGGGCTACTATCTCCGGCTGGACTGGGGAGGAACAGGACTTGTCCATCCCCTGCAGAGCCACTTGGAGGGAGGAGAAGGGGGGTGGAAGACTAGACCCACCTCCGGGTGCCTCCCCCTGCTTCAGGACGCTCTGGGATTGGGCAGTAGCTTCAGAGGTTCCTGCAGTTGGAGGAGACTTGTGGAGTTGGGTCCGATCTTCCCTGTGCTTCTGGGAGCGCCCATGTGTTATCACAAGTATTTCAGGCCAGATTCTTTACCCTTAGTTATACCTGTGCAAGACCATTTCCTTCAAATGTTGTCTCTTTATTGGGGTTGCTTAGGTGTGGCTAAAACCAGAATTTTGTGCTACATGTGTGAATCCTCAGCAGAATTGTTTGTTGAGATCAGACAGAATCCAACTCTCTCTCATGTCTGTGTTGATTCAGCAGTGCTAACAGGAGTAAAAAGGAGTACAGGCTTACTTTTGTTAATAAAGGGATCAGATAAAACTTGATTACACATGAAGTGTAGGACATTGAAAGAGTCACTTCAGATTACTGTAACCATGCTTTTAACTGGTCCTTCTGAACAGAGTCCTATTTCTATATTGTGTGAGATTGTATAGCAAACATCATTGTAAAATCTAAACCCAAAAGGGCTGTCTAAGGTTAAAAATATGAACTTGCCTGCTTTTATGAAATTGTCTCTCATCTTATTACCGTAATACAGGGGTGGGCAAACTCTGGCCCGGGGGCCGTATCTGGCCCCTCCAGACATTTTAATCAATCCCTCAAGCTCCTGCCAGGGAGCGGGGTCTAGGGCTTGCCCTGCTCCAGTCGGGGAGCAGGGTCCAGGGCTTGTCTCACTCCGCGCGGCTCCCAGAAGCAGCGGCATGTGCCCCCCCGGCTCCTATGCGTAGGGGCAGCCAGGGGGCTCCACATGCTGCCCCCGTCCCAAGCGCCACCCCTGCAGCTCCCATTGGCCGCGCAGGCAGTGTGCAGAGCTGCCTGGCTGTGCCTCCGTGTAGGAGCCGGAGGAGAGAGATGCCGCTGCTTCTGGGAGCTGCTTGAGGTAAGTGCTGCCCGGAACCTGCACCCCTGACCTCCTCCCGTGCCCCAACCTCCTGCCCCAGCACTGAGCCCGCTCCTGTCCTCTGAACCCCTCGGTCCCAGCCTGGAGCACCCTCCTGCACCCCCAACCCCTCATCCCCAGCCCCACCCCAGAGTCCATACCCCAGCCGGAGCCCCCTCTCCCCGCCCCCCCTCCCCGCATCCTAACCTCCAATTTTGTGAGCATTCATGGCCCGCCATACAATTTCCATACCTAGATGTGGCCCTCTGGCCAGAAAGTTTGCCCACCCCTGCCTTAATATATCTTTAAATGTCCTTATTTGGACATTAGGTTTATATTAGTTATATATTATACTTTTTTGTTGTTTGGATCCAAGTGTCCTGTAGACAGCTTAAGTGTAGGATACTGCCACAAAAATACTTCGTAAAACTTAATTTCTTCTGATTAAAAGAACCTAACATGGTTTTAATAGAACTATTACAATGACTCTGTGGAGTCATTGTGATTTCATTGGATGTATTCAAGGCACATGGTTACATTCCAATATTTTCATTATATTGGCTTTTACTTTACAGATCTTTCATTGATATTATAATAAGCTAGTCTGTCGCCAAAAAAACCCAAGTAATTATAACAGCTCTCTGTACATTACACTGCTCTACAGCCAAAATGCTTCTGAAATAAATGTAGTCAAACTTTACTAATTCTGGGTCACTGAGAATGAAAATGATGCTTAAAATTGTTGATTGGCTCTAGTTTTCAAGATATGCTATTGGGTCGGTATATATGACCCTTGACTTGGGAATGGCGGAGGATAAGTGAGTTATAAAGGGAAGGGATCTCAATTTAAACCAGAAATGACTAAAATACATCTTTGACTGGATCTATGAATAAATCTATGACTGGGTTTGGACAGTACTTGCTTTTTAGGCAAAACAATGAATGATGCAATCTGAAGCTGGTATTGCGTCATACATGATATGAATTGCATCATGTTATTCCTAGAAGTCATGGATGATGCAATCATAACGAAGCTTACATCACTCTGCTGAACAAATTGCCCTATATCAGCTCTAGAAATCATAGAGTGTCGTACTCTCTTATTTGTCAGTGTTTGATTTTGCAAAGGGACACATTTCTGTTTAGCCAAAGTGAGCAGAGATGCCTCGTACTTGTGTGAACAGTGCAGATAACTTCTGCTATGTTTGTGGTGAAGTGACTTTTGCATCACAAAAGCGCAGTATAACCACTATGGTTAAGAAAGCCTATCACCTTTATTTTGGCCGCAAAATTGGAGATCAGGACAAGAGGTGCACTTGTGCAACAAATCTTCGCCAGTGGTTGAACAGGAAAAGGAAATCTATGCCTTTTGCAGTGCCAATGATTTGGAGAGAGCCAACAGATCATACCAGCAATTGTTACTTCTGCATGGTGCCTCCAGTTGGGAAAGGTGTGTCAAAGAAGAAAAAGTGGACTGTGCATTATCCAAACATTCCATCAGCTATACGCCCAGTACCCCACGGAGAAGGACTGCCGGTTCCTGATGCACCAGAATCATTCTCACTTGAGTCAGACGAGGAAGAGGAAGAGGATGAAACTTCTGGTCCTGAACCATCAATGTCACAGGACCCACATTTTCTCCCATCCTCCTCCTCTGAACCACACCTCATAACACAAGGTGAACTGAATGACCTTGTCAGGGATTTGGAACTACCCAAGGCAGAGCTGTTGGGCTCCAGACTACAGCAGTGGAATCTCCTGGCAGGTGATGTTAGGGTTTCCATGTTCCGTGACCGTCAAAAGGATCTTGTCCCATTCTTCTTCATGGAAGGTGATCTTGTAGCCTGCAACAACATTGATGGTGCGATGGCAGCCCTCAACATCGTTCACAATGCAGATGAGTGGAGACTGTTCATTGATTCATTGAAGACGAGCCTTAAAGCTGTTTTACTGCATCATGGCAATGTTTTGCCATCAATTCCAGTTGGTCATGCAGTCCATATGAAGGAAACCTATGACAACATGAAACAACTTTTGAGGTGCATAAACTATGACCAACATCAGTGGCAGCTTTGTGTTGATTTGAAGGTTGTTGCTCTCTTGCTTGGTCTGCAGACTGGATACACAAAGTACTGCTGTTTTCTCTGCGAATGGGATAGTCGTGCAAGAGATTCCCACTACATCAAGAAAGATTGGCCACTCCGACAGTCATTGGAGCCTGGGAGGAAAAGTGTTCAGCATCCACCACTTGTTGAATCAAGGAAGATTTTGTTACCACCCTTACACATCAAGCTGGGTCTGATGAAGAACTTTGTCAAGGCCATTGACAAAACACAAGCAGCTTTCAAGTACCTCCGTGGAAAATTTCCAAGGTTAAGTGAAGCTAAGATAAAGGAAGGTGTCTTTGTTGGTCCTCAGATTCGTGAACTTCTTCGAGATGATGCATTTGACCATGCACTGCGTGGCAAGGAAAAGGCGGCATGGAAAGCCTTCCAGTTAGTGGCAATAAATTTTCTCGGAAACAACAAGGCAGACAACTACAGGTTATTGGTGAAAACCTCCTCAAGGCATACAAAAGCCTTGGTTGCAACATGTTACCAAAGATACATTTTTTGCACTCTCATCTAGATTTTTTTCCACCGAACAGTGGAGCAGTGAGCGATGAGCACGGCGTGCGATTTCACCAGGACATTACAACAATGGAGAAATGCTATCAGGGCAAATGGAGCCCATCAATGCTTGCAGACTATTGCTGGACAGTGACAAGAGATGCTCCATTTAATGAATACAAGAGACAAGCCAAGAAGCGCCGAGTAGACACTGAATAGGACTAAACTATGTACAGAATAGTTTTTTGCCTTTTGTTTCATAATAAATTTTATTTATATAACCCTTTTGCTGATTTTTAAAGTGTTACATAAACAGGACAGGTGAAATATTATCATGTAAAGCAACCATAAAAACATGAAAAGACCTAGGTTTACAATTTATGATTAAAACTCTACTATCTACACAATATACATAGACATAAAATGTAAAAACTTAAATATCTTAGAAACAGTAGCCAATCAGTTGTTTTAATTGTCATATTTGAATTCAGGACATCAAAATACATAATAAATAGCACATTTTATCTCTGAAGCAGACGACTTCTCAAAAATTGTAGACCAGTGTTATTTATCGGTATACAGACAGCATTGTACAGTAGTTTAACTTAAAGAACCCTAAAGCATTTCTCTGAAGAGCTGCCTTTACCTAGTTTTGTTGTTTTGATGTGTATGACTCAGTGGGCTTTTTTTCTCTTTCAGAACAACTATTGGAATTCATGCATCAGTTGCCTGCTTTTGCCAACATGACAATGTCAGTGAGGAGAGAACTTTGTGCTGTGATGGTATTTGCAGTTGTGGAGAGGGCAGGAACCATAGTACTAAATGATGGGGAAGAGGTCAGTGGAATTTGCTTTGAATCTTCGTTTGTGCAGACGTCAAAAAATCTGGAAACGTTTTTTTTGAAGTTTGGAAATTAATTTCTAGTTGCTGGAGAGTAGCACGAGGAAGTAATTTGTTTGTATGCCTCTTTTGTGTTGTGTTGATTATGGTTTTATTCAGTTCAATTTGCAAATGATTTTTCAGTTTAAACACCCAGATCAATTTACAAGATACATGCAATAGAACTTAGGAAAATTTTCTCAATAAAGGCTATACAAACACATGTATTGTTAATGATCAGAGCTGATTTCAAATGCTTTTTATTTTTGATCTTTCAGTATGATTTAAATACTGCCAAGGGTTTTATGAATTGTATAGGTTTTATAATTCCAAGAGTTTATTAAAGGCTAAATATTAGATTCCTTAAGGAAATGGAAGGAATTATAATTTTTCAGGTAAACTAGTTCATCCTCCTCCTTTCTTGTTTTCATAAATAGTTGCTAAAAATAAACTAACTTTTTAAAAATGTATAAGCAATTCTGGGAATAGTGTTTATACAGTACCATGCTAAAATGCTAAGTGAGTAGGTGATTGTTCTTTTCACCTATCCTGCACTGTTCGATTTCTAGCTGGACTCCTGGTCAGTTATATTGAATGGTTCTGTGGAAGTGACATATCCTGATGGAAGAACAGAGATACTGTGTATGGGAAACAGTTTTGGTGTTTCCCCTACCATGGACAAGGAATACATGAAAGGAGTGATGAGAACCAAAGTGGATGACTGCCAGGTAGAGTATTACTCCATATATATTTGCAAAACACAATTATAAATTATATAGTACTGTCCTTACAACGTACCTGCATTTTAAAAAGTGTTTGTGGCAGAGTTCATGTTAAGTTTACCTGGTAGGGTGCGGAGACAGGCCTTGGAATTGTTCTATAGAGTAATTTTAACAGGGATATTTTCTCTCCAATACATTTTATTCAAAAATCAGTTTCCTTCTTTTCTTTCATTTTAAATGCAAGAATGGCTTTGTGCTGAGTTGGGGCAATGTCTTTGAGCACATTTCTAATAGTTCATTGACAAAGGTGAAATAGAGTATTCTGTTTAGTAGTGTGTGCTGGAAATTTGATATTAATTACGAAATGATCTGAAAAAAATTATGTTGGGGCAAAATATAAAGGTAACACATGAGTTCATCAAAGCAATCAATCAGAAGTCTCAAACACACAATGTCAGAGGACCCATCAAGAAAAAGCAGCATAATTTATCACTATCCTTATGTTTGGTTAATATGATTGCAAATGAAATGTCAGTTCAGTTTTTGGTAATTGTTCATAAAAAAATGATTCTAGTTCAAATTAGAGCTTGACATCCCCAGGTAATAAAATGAAATGCACAGCTACTGCATGAATGGATTTATGTGACCAAAAGTCCAGGAGAAAAACATCTGGGTCTAAAAGGAAAAAGGATTTATGGTTCCGTTTGGACCATTTGTCAAATTATTTTACTTGTAGTGAATTTCCGGAGATATGCCAATTGTCCAGTGGACACGGTCTGATATTTTGACTAATGTAATGTAAAGGGTAAAGGGTTATATCTAAATTATCCAACAGAGGGTCCTGTGGCACCTTTAAGACTAACAGAAGTATTGGGAGCATAAGCTTTCGTGGGTAAGAACCTCACTTCTTCAGATGACTTGCATCTGAAGAAGTGA